TGGCTCATGCCTGTAATCCCAGCACTTTGGGAAGCTGACACGAGAGGATCACTTGAGCCTAGGAGTTAGAGACCAGCCTGGGCAACATGGCAAGACCATCACTATTAAAAAAAAAAAAAAAAAAATCCAAAACCCATGTGTTGGGTGCTATGCTGGCTCCTGAGGTCTGGTGGTGACCAAGAACACCAGCTGGACCCTAACCTCCCAGAGTTTCCAGCCTGAAGAGGGAAGCAGACAAGTGTGAAAAATCAGAACTACAATATATGATCTGGGCAAGGGCTGGAGGGCTTGGGGAAGGCTTCCTGGAGGAAGGGGTGTCTGAGCTGATCCTTGTAGGTGGAGAGTCACCGGGAAGAGCTTGCTTAGCAGAGGACCTGGTGCCTCAAAGCTGAAAAGGGCAGGCAGGTTGTGGGGAAGCTGAGCTGGGGAAGGTGCAAACGCGGCTCAGGCGAAGGCCAGGTGGGCTCATCTCCATGCTGGCCTTTGATGGCCAGAGTCTTGTGCAAATGGGATATCTTAGGAATCACACCCAGAGGCAGCACCCTTGAAGGCCGTGTGCCAGTGGCAGATGGACTCTAGTGCCAGCAGCCCGACCTCTCCAGTTAATGTGGAAAAGAGTGGTTTTGAGTTTGCATAGCTGTTTGATTTATAGTCTTCTCTCTGGCCAGCCCTTTGAAGCGGTGGTTTCGGAGCCATGTGGAATGGAGGGAGAGTGGCTATGAGACATAGGGGGATAAGGACCACACGTTTTCTTCCTCTGGCATTTCTGAGCATACGTTATGTGCCAGGTGGTGTAGTAGGCACTGGGGACATGAGGGAGATACGGTGCCTGCCCTGATGTATAATTACAGGGAGATCTAACCTAGTCTTTTTGAGGGCCTCCATGCTGCAGTTGAATATGAGCTAGGTATCATCATTCATTCCTGTTTACTGGTAGGTGAACTGAGGCTCAGAAACAGAACTGGGGCTGTGCAACCTAGTATATGGTGGATTTGAACCCAGATGTGTTCAACTCAGAAGCCTGGGGGCTCATGTCTACTGTGGGAGACCGAGGCAGAAGCTGTTAACTGTAGTATGAGGCCCTCCATGATCGGGGCTCTGAAAGAGTCACATGCGACATACTAGGAAGGGGAGAGGGGGACTCTGACTTGGCCTGAGTAGGACACTCCAGCAGGTATTGGAGGAATAGCTGCTAGGTGAGTGTGTGCCTGGCCGGCAGGAGCCATGGAACAGAGCTGGGGGCTGGGGGAGGTTGGGGCCCTGGTTTTGAAATTTGCCTCTGGTCTCAATGGGTGAGATGGATCAGAGTCGGGTGAGCCAGGGTAGGGCATATGAGTGCTTCCACTTAGACCCGTAGGATAAAAGCTCAATCGAGTCTGTGCGTTGTGAGCTTCATTCCCTGAAGGTGCTCCCAGTGTCTTAGGTTCCGTAATAGGACAGCAAGTAGACTCAGACTCCTGAGCCTCAGAAGTGTGATTAGCAGTCTGCTCTGGGCGCCTGAAGGGTATGGGGCGCAGGAGTGTCACAGGGTCAGCCTCTGTGTAGGTGGTTTCACCAGACATCAGAACTGTACAGTTGAGAGTGTGGGATTATTTTGATTCGGACTCAGTGCTCCCACTCCAGCAGTTGTCTGTACTTGCCACTGCACCCTGAAGGGAGCAGGGACCATGGGAGAGGGGTCAGTAACCCCGAGGGGGTTGAATCTGGGTCTGTCAGTTTGTTGGTGAGCCTGGGGCCAAACTAGTTTCTGGGGGAAATTGCAGAAAGGCTGATGTGGCAGCAGTGGGTGGTTTCATTATTATGGGCCTCGTGCTGACATCTCTCTAGCCACAGAAGTTCTTAACCTGGGGTCTGTGGATAGAATTCAGGGAGTCCATCCGTGAACTTAGATGGGGGAAATTGCATTTTTATTTTCATTAACCTTAGCTGGAGTTTAGCATGTCTTCCACTTGGTTGTAGGCAATGCAGCACAGTTATCTTAGCAAACACCTGTACCTTGGTCACCAGTAGGAATCACAGCTGTTTTTACCCTTACATCACAGTTGTAGAGCTATCTGAAAAAGCAGTTTACACTTGTCACAACTTTAAAGTTATGGCAGTTATTAGACGCACTGTTGGATGTATAATACTTTAATAAAGAAGCTTTTATTATGCTATCACAGTTTTTTTTTTTTTTTTTTTTTTTTTT